CGGGAGCAGGGGCAGCAGCTCCCTTCTAGGTCCCTGCAGTAACCGGGCCACATTAAATATTGCCCGCATTAAAGAGGCTGGAAAGAAAGAGAAAATTGACCTCGGAGAAGAACTAATTGCAGACTCCTAATTTAGCAGGTTTTAAAACCTGTATAGGGTTCAACAGCCAGGTTTCCAACTAAATTGCCATTGGCACCACCAGCACCCTTCACCCTGCATCCTGTTACATGCTGCTGCCCATCAACCTCCAGTGTACCATAGAAAGCAAAAAAAAAAAAAAAATCCAACCACCACCTAAAAATAGCCTAAAAACTTGTCAAGCCCCCCCGCCCCCCCCGGTTAATATGATATCATCAGTATTGTATCAGCAAGTAGATTTCATAGACACCAGGCACAACCAGACATCCCCTTTCTTCTCTCTGTGGCCGGGTAGTGGTGCTTGCCATCCGTCTGACAGCCAGGACGCTGCGACTCCAGAGAGCAGAGATGAGGGCTGTCAGCACTGCTGTCACGAAACGACGGAGGGCTGCAGGGGTCCGGGCGTGGGGAGGAGCTGTGGGCAGCTGCACGGTTAGCAGCCGCAGGTCAAGAAAGCAACTTAACCATCTTAACCATCTTTTCTGCACAGGAGTCATCCAGAGGGAAAAAAAGTGGTATGTGAAGAAGTTATTCCCGTGCTGGTGAGCCTGTTGGAAGATACAGATCCTGAGGTCCAAGCTAGTGCAACAGGAGCCCTGATGTTTGCTACTATCACACCTCAGGGTGAGAGACAGAGGCGGTTCTGTCAGGATGCTTTCTGGAAACCCAATTCCATAACAAAACTTCTGCCCTGCTCCTCAAGTCCTCAGTTTCTGATCGTGTTAAAGCTCTTCAAGAAACTATAAGATTGGGACATTTCTTTAGATCTGTCTGGAGCAGCTATTGTTGCTGCCCCGTAGCGTGTAGAGAGGACCGTATATTTCCCATCTCATTCACCTGAAGTAGGTCCAGAAGTTCTTTGCCAACCCCCACGCCTCATTTCCCTCCGGAACGCCGCGCCGCGGGGGAACGCTGTCCGCGCAAGGCCGGGCCGCACGGAGATCCGCTGACCTGAAGCTGCTCTCAATCACCATCCTCAACAGAGGAGCACTACTTTCTGGAAACTCTTCCTGTGGTTAGAGAGGCAGTTTTCCTCTCACAGCTGGGAGAGGAATGAATATTAATAAGGTCTGTAGTTCTCCCAAGTAAGTTACACGACACTGAAAATACTAACTGCTAATTTTTCAGTGTGATGAATGAGTAATTAGACATAAAAGACTCTTAATAACAGCAGTTGTGTTCCAGTCCTCCTCTGCAACTGTCCCCCAGCTTCCGAAGAAAACACAGGAGTGGATCTCATGTTTGAAGTGCCTTTAAAAATAAAGGAATGAAGGATGTTCTTAAGGGCATCTACCCCCCCCCCCCAACAGTTTATCCTATCATTTGGTGCCTCATATATTCTTAGATAAATTTGTTGCAAATGAAATAATAATGTGTAAGGCAGATAAAGTTAACTAAGAAAGATATTTGTTTCTTCAAAATAAACAGCTGGCAGCTGCCTTTGGTCTTCAAAAGAAAAGCATGTCCTACCTCTTCACACTGCACCCTCGGGGTGTTCAGAGCTGTAGCTGGGCAGAGTAGAAAGCAGCAATTCAAAAGTGTGTTGGTTGTACGCAAGAACACATTTTAAAGCCAGTTTCTTTCTCTCCAGGGAGATTCGCAGCCCTAGGTGCTGAAGCCATTCCACCTTTGCTGAAGTTGGTTGCTGAGGAAACCAGCAAAGCCCGTCTGAGCGCCATCAAAACCCTCACCGTGCTGGCTGAGCTGCCAGAGGGCCGCAGGACGCTCCTAGACCACACAGATACGTTTCAGCAGTGCCTGAATGATCCCTGCGAGGCAGTGAAAAGAGCGGCCAAAATTGCCATCGGTGTCATCAAATGGAAACCTTTCTGAAGACGGCATGTTCCACAGAGGTCTGTTGCCCTCTGTTGTTGTCTGGCTGTAAAAGTTGCATGATTATACGAGACCTTCAAAACCAAAACTCTCTTCCCTGGTTACTCTGGATCAGTTCCTCCTGAAAAGTTGTTTGTCAACAGTTTCGTGTCTATATTGCAGGTCACAAGCAGAATAATGTGCAAAAAGAAAGCTTAGGAAGTCTAGACTTCTCCACCAGGAGTTATTTCCCGATTTTCCTGTGATACAAGAACCAATCCTTTTTGTTTTCTTCATAAAGTTCTCTCTCTTTTTTTTTTTTTTTTTAAATCTCAGCCTATCAAACATTAATCAATAATTAATTATATTAGAAAGAAATGTTCGGAATTAACCTCTCCAGCAGTCTTGTCTATGCTGAGAAATTGGCCTAATGACAGGGATTTACACGAGTTTTGCGGCAAACATTTGTTGAGCATGGGATTAGAACCATTTACAGCATCATCACACAAAAAGCAACGGCAATGTCATAGAAGGGCTTCCCCTAGAGAATTATGAGACTTTCCCCAGCCTAAAATATAACCAAATACTTATCAGCACGGGTCTAACAGATGGAGCTGCTGACAAGACTTGCCAGCGGCGAGTCTGGGGGAGGTGGGCCCTGCTGCCCTGGGCTAAGAGCACTCAGCCTAACCCTGTCCCCATGACGAGATTCATCCGTGCAACGCTCCCGTACCCCCAGCTGATGACCGCTCAAGGAGACCTTCAGGAACAGCCCTTGCTTTACTTCGCAGCCCCGCTCTTGCTGTGTGCGTCAGCAGCCGCTCCCTCAGCCTGAGCTGCAGTGATGCCTCCCGTGTTTTTAAGCCGGTGAGGATCTCCACAGCCAGGCTTTCTCCTTCTGCGTGCTTGGATCGAGGCTCAGGGCTGCCACGCGCAGTTGTCTACGCTTCGGGTAAAAGGAAGAGAAGTCACAAAGACTTTACTAGGGTAGCCCTTGGCAAAGCTCTGTTGGGGGCAGCCCCCGCTGCCTTGAACGGGAGAGGGGTCTGACCCCTCTCTGAAATTGGTGATAGCATGGAACAAATGTGCCTCTGTGTTTGTGCTAGTACTTGGTATTTTGTAGCTTTGTACAGCTGTAATCTCTCCTTTGAGTATATATAAAAACTAACAAACATAATGGAAATGGAAGTGTTGTGCCAAAACTGAAGAGCTTTGCCATTGTGGCTTGCTTTTGAGGGAGAAGGAGGGGGCGAGAGGAAAGCTGATCCTAATGTTGTGGTGTAGTCCAACAGGAGCTGGACAAGACGATCTCCAGGGGTCCCTTCCAACCTCGAATATTCTACGATTACCAGCTGCCTAAACAGAGAGAGGAGGATATAAACAGAACAGAGAACTGAAAACGTTCCCTTATTTCGGAAAAATGTGTTTCTTCTTTTTGTCTTCAAAAAAACTCAACAGTTTTTGGTTTTTAAAAAACAAAAACACAACTTTAACATCATAGGATGGAGAATAACACAGCAAGCTCAAGCTGTTTGTAGAAGCGAGCCTATCCAACAAGGCATAAATTGCCTGAAGGAAGGTAGTTCCTGTGGTTAGAGCTGATGGGCAGTTGAAACGGTGGGAAGTTGAGGAGCATTTTACTCCCCGTGTAGCCAAGGCCAGGGCACTGCAGATAGGTTGCAAACTTCTCTGTCTGGAGTTGTGAGCGTGTAATTTAAAAGGCACCAGCAGAAGGCTTGGGCAAAGAAATAAAGCAAGCTGGCAGGACAAGTCCTGACCATGCTCAGCGACCCAGAAAGGGGCGACAGCGCAGCTGACTCAGCTTCAGTGGAAGTCCCATTGGCTTTCACTCAGGTTTTGCTCTCACATGGTACTTTTTAATCTAGAAGTTACCAAGTTGTAGCTACAAAGAAGCCGCATCATCTGTACAAAGGAACTCCTTTGTCAGGGCTGCTTTCCATTGCAGAAACCCACTGTCACACTGCATTACCCTGGTACAAAGCATAAACTTATTCTGTAGGAGCGATTAAAGTTAAAATGTTTCTCTTCCATAACCTACTCAAAGGGTGAATTTCCTCTCCTATAAAGGTGTGATTTAAAAGCATGGAGTCAGGTGGATTCTTTCCCTCTGGGCAGGATCTTGGAGGAGCTCTGCCTTTTAAACACGCGTTACGTACATAAGGCACTCGTACTCAATACATACTGATGCCAGAGCGTATCCAATTCAATAAAAGGGAGCCAGGCAGCTTAATAACACGCTAAATGTTCAGGAAAGGACATGGGAGCAACAGAGGATGGTGGGCTCACCTGCCCTCACAAAACTGCTACAGGAAAATGCGGTAACAGTGATCATTTTAGCTCGGTTCCAAGCTTCCATCACAGCCTTCCCCGGTAACTCAGGTATCACACTTCGAGTTCACAGAATTATGAGCTTGTTCAGATGTAGAATTAAGACCATCCAGCCCGAACAGCTCTGACTAGAAGAAATTTAGCTGACTTGGACCTTAAGTACAGCATCCTGGGCACCTGCCTGACCGCGGCTTTAAAGAGGATACAAGCTGTTTCCCAACGAGGCTCTATGTGGTGTCAATGCTCGGCTCACGTACACGCACAACACAAAAACGGAACAAAGCCTTAACTGAACTCTGAAACATGGATGCGAGAGGTACCCCTTCCACATGTCAGCTTTTGTCTCAGCAATTCTTTGGCACTATTACATCTGACAACATACAACACGATATTTCAATCACAACAGTAATTCCATTTGGCTATATTGACCATGTACTGCCTATAGAAACACCAAAATTCAAAGCCTGTGTACAGAACAGCCATGAACCATTATTAATTATTTTTTTTTTAACTTATAAAGCTATATTTACTGTTATTGGAAGGACTGCCGATGACAAACGTTTGCAGGAGCCCAGCACAATGTATGACAACGGGTGCAGTGTTAAACAGCCTGTGTGAAGCATAGGATGCCACAGAGAACACGAGCTAATGCAGAAATAACCCCATTCATTGCAGCACACTGTTTTGTCATCTGTGGTGTTTCTCGAGCTGTGTTAGCTCGGTGTCCAAGCGTTCGGTGTCTCACGCTGGGTTACACTGCAGGAGGCCGGGCAGGAGAGCGCACGGCACAGGCACGGCACAGCAAAACCCGGCGCCGCGAGGGAGAGAAGGAACAACGTGCAGAGCTACCTGATGCAGCAGAGAAATATCACACATATGACCCTTTGTCATCTTGACTATACGGAACCTGAGCTATGAGGTAAGTTTTTATTCTACAAAATCATTTTTCAGGTGTATTAAAACGTAACACACAATTGCTCCCATAGTAATATACTGATTCCGAAATCTCCTTCCTAAAATGAGTTTCTCAGCCACAGTTCGACACCTGAAATGTCCCTTCACGTTCTTCAGAAAGACCTACGAGATCTCAAATGTAATTGAAATCAGCCAAATAGGTAAAACTCCCAACTAAATGCCCCAACGTGTTTCTTTTCCCCAGGAAAATGTAGACATGCTTTCTTTTTATGTTATTTGGAAGGAAATAACATACCCTGTTTAATAAAAGAAGCTATAACAAAAAAGGAGGAAATACAATTTTATAGGGCTTATACTATAGGCCAACCCATTGATTTAGTAACAAGGCACAAAACCAGCGTGTAGATATCAGGACCATCCACCAATGTTAACAGTTACTAAGATGTCCAGTAATTCTGGGGATATGTTTCAGCGTATTTCTGAATCTCCCTGTTAAAGCAGTGGCTATAAGATGGGAGATGAGATTACAGCTCCGAAATTGCCGTTGGGAAATGAAAGCAATCACGAATAAGTCCTTGAAAAAGTTTTCACAAGTAGAGAAATTGATGGTGAAAAAAGGAAATATCCAAGCTGACCCCGAACACGTTTGGATGAGAGACAAAAAACAACCCAGTGGCAGGAACAGAAATTATAGGGTAAAAAGAATTGAGTAGAAAATCTTGGATTTTTAGGTTTGGCATTCTCAGTACTCTTATTCATTGTTAAACTAACTTTGATTCTATAATTTAGCAAATAATCATTTAATGAGTTTTCATAGCTAAAAAAAAATATCCTTATGATTAAGGATTTTCTTTTTCTTCTGAGGTACACTAAGTCTTGAAAGAAAGGAGAACAAGATGTACTGAAGTTACAGGAACACCGATTTATAAATCAGGTTGGAGTTAACCCAAGATATCCTTTGGCCTTAGCAGTATTTGGGCTTCTGTCAGTTATTACTTAGCTGCCGAGTACAGCAATGCCCTTAAGACAGTGCACAAAATGAAAAATGCATCCTAAAATTCTTCTAGTACTGACGTTCCGATAAAACGAAAAGGTCACCTGTCCTAGCAAGTCCAAGGGCAGGAACAGTTTGGGTCGTGCACCAACAAGATGAACGGTGCTGAACGGGCACCCTGCAGTACCAATAGCTTTCTACGGGCATTCTCTCTCTTCTCAAATTAGGATGTTTTCTGACCCAAGGCGCAGGTTTAGTCCTAGAGACGCGCTTGCTGGCTTTGCAGTTGTCTTGGTGCCGAATGTTCGTTCAACATGCAGCTAAGGACTAAGGGCCAGGGAAAGTACTGAAATATAACGCCTGTGGGGAGTGCCGTGGCTGGCTATAGCTTTGGAATGAGAGACAGCAGTCCCTAATTTGTGAGGCTGGGCAATTAATGAGCACTCTAGGTGTCAGTAAAATAATTAGCTGGATCAAGGAACCACAGCTGATGAATGCTTCCCCTTGGACTGACTTAGGTTTCAGTTGAGTATGCTCCATAATAAAGCTGCCACAGACTTGGTCACAAAAATGCTAAAGATCCTGTTGAATTGCTTCATACACATTATAAACACTTAAATTAACATGTCAGGATCTAGAACTCTCAATACACTGTAATTAAACTCATTATTTCAAAAGAAATGTGGCGTATACAGCAAGTCTTTGTTTTTAGCACTATATGCTCCACAGCGCTCTACGCTACGATGACGTTAGCACTTAGGCAGATTTTTAACATCAATGGAAAATGATTTGTCTTTTTAGCTTGAAGCCAGCAATGATTAAGGCCCAGATATAATTAACGTGGTCCTGGGTCAATACTGGAATTAGTTCAGTTACACTCTACACAAACCAAGTTCACAAATCAGCTGCCTAACATTTCTCAGCGGTTGCAGAAGACAGGACAGCTGCGTTCATGCCAAACAAGACCTGCTGTATGAGCCTTGCATCCCACCCAGGCAGAGCTCATTTTCAATGCACAAAGGTTTATATTCGTTTTTTCTAACAGTTTCCAGAAGGTTAAGAATATTATGGCTCTTTGTTCTTGCAACTACAGACTCATTTCCCTGTCCCCATTTGCTTTCAGAAGTCCAGGAGTTGGAAACCATTCTGTCCTGCTCTGGAAAATGAGAGCTTTTGATTCTCTCTCTTCATGTTCCAAAGCAGGGAGTATTTCTGCTTCCCACCACTACATTTTCTATTTAAATAAATAAGAACCATATTAAAAATGCATAGAAGTGAGAGATGTGTCTAAGGACAAAATAAAAGAGTCTGGGAAAGTCAGATTTGGCTAAGTACATTAAGCCGGAAGGGCAGAATCTCTTTTCTGCGGCTACAGACAAAACTAATACGCTGAAAAGCTCAAGCACAGGACCTATTTTTAGCAAGACGTAATGCGAATGAATGAAAACCATTGTAATAATTTGGTTTAAGATACTCTGAATATAAGCTAAGTTTTAAAGTTACAGGCTCCGATACTGTAAATAAAAACGCTGCACAGAGGAAGGACGAGCTGGCGCTTACCTCAGCTTGAAGTTCTTGCTGCTGGTACCTGAGGAGAAGTAGGGAGCGGCTCCGGCGGTGGCCCTGCCCGGTGGGGAACGGCTCCAGGGGAGCTCTTCTCGTCCGCAGCTTCCCGTGGTAGGTGACAACAAGATGGAGCGTTCCTCAGGAGGGACAAAGAAGCCAACCTATTTTATTAATAGTAAGGGCAATAACCTCAGGCACCGGCGCTGCTTATACTGTCTTTCATCAGAACAACTAGTACATATTGGAGCCAGCGCAGTTTTACTCCATCCTTTAAGTTCTCCCGTACAGGCCTGCAATACACACTCCATGAAAACATGCCATGAATCACCAAGTAAAACCGGGTTATTCTGCATTCCTCGTCTTTCTCAGTGATGTATCGCCCTCTGTTGTTAAAGCTGGGATGCTGTAGTTTAAGTTAAACAGACGGGAAGCTCTGATCACTGCTCTCTTCCCTCCCTTTCTTGCTACCACAGAGTGACACCGCAGGTGCAGGACACAGAGACCTGCCGCTAGGACGTGAGATCATTAAATAAATTTAAAAAACCCAGCAGCCTTCCTCAGAAGAGCTTTGCTGTGACCCCACAGCCCGTGAACAACCCTTCTCTGCGCAGCGCGACTGCCCGTCCCCAGGAACATCAGCTTCAAACTCTCCTTCAGCTCGACGCTTCCAGCCAACAAATTCAAGTGTTCTTCAGAGACAAGAACCAAGGCTCTGCAGCTTTCCTCCCAAACACCGGTCACCACTGGTGATACCTGCGTTTATCATCACTCCTTACTCCTCGTTTTTGTGCCAGCTTTTATTTCGTATGAGCCTTCCCAACTTTGCCGGTTCAGAAGGTGATCAGAGCAGTTGAGCCAATTAGCCATCGCAGCTGGTGGTGCGCTGATCATGACAACCACTTACACCTGAAGCACTCGCCCTTGGGCTATGTCCTGATTCACCACGGACCTGCATTTTGGTTAAAACCAAACCATGCTTTCAGCAGATGTATTCCAAATTAAGGCACAGACCTTCCCTCCCCCAGTGATCGTTGCATTTCAGTGCATGAGCTTTTTCAGTAACAAAATAGGAATAAAACCAAATTCTGAGTTTTCAGAACAGAGTGTTCTCACGATCATTGATAATTAACATTTGTGAGGTACTTGATACGGAAAAATGAAAACATAAATGAAGAGTAGTTACCCTTTTTCAGGACTTGGCCTGAAAATTATGTAGTAATTCTTAAGTGGAAGATCTGATTTGTTTAGCGTGTGTTCTTTATATAACAGTGTTGTAATTGGCTTACAGTGCTGCTAGGTGGATTTTAAATTTTATTTTATTTTGTGCAGTTCACTTAAAATATTTCTGTGCGTTTAACTAAAGTCCACTAAAATAAGCTGCAACCCTCTATCTTACCTGACAGGGTAAGCTGGGATGTCTCAGCATCACCTGAAACAGAGCTGTGTTATGCTGCTCATGCCATGCACGTGTGTCGTGCTCTTAGCCAGAGATACATCTGGAGTCTCTCCATTAACCAGAAGTATTTCAAATTTACAGTCAAACGTGGGAAAGAGGCATGTGCTCACTGTTCCCATTCCTAAAGCATGGGATGGTGTAAGCTACTTTTTGGGTTTTGTCCGGAGTGCCCCACAGCAACAGCTCTAACACGGACAGAGATCCCCTGAGAACTGAAGGGAAGTCGCTTTCTTCCTTAAAATCACGAAACTGCCTTTGAATGCAATAGCTACCAACCTGAGGTGGCATTTAACTATTAATCTAAACATAAAAAGTTTTATCAGCTGTCCACAATATCAGGCAATTTTTCTATGAAATTCTACAAAATGAGAGGAGCACTCCAAGCAGCAAACCTCGTGTAAACGTCGGTACTCTGCCCTCTACAGCATCCAGTTTTCAGAGCCGAACGAAGGCAGGTTGCTGAGGACGCACAGTGAGCGTCCCCGGGAAACTGAGAGTCGGTTTTTCGAAACTCTTTAATCCTGGGGAGGAAAATGAAGTGACAGTGCCTGATTAACCAGGAGGTCATCTACAGGTTGCTCAACCTGCCAGGAAATCATTTGTGTTATTTGTCTTCATCCAAACAGTTGTATGATTTCACCACATTTTTCTTTTTGTAAGAAAGCATGACAAAGAGGGATCTGGGCAATCCTCGTTAAAGTCTTTCCTGTTTGTTTGTCACCCATTACTATTACTCAGAGCCAAAATCTAGACACCAAATTAAGTTTCGCTGTCTTCCACCATATTACGTAAAAATCCCATCATTTTGTGGACACCAAATACTTCAAAATATACAAATACTTTAATACATACAAGTCTTCATAGTCCATTAAATATAATTAATTCCATGGTCTTTAAAATACTCTATCACTGTATTAACTGTAAGAAAAGGGTTTGCACTGGTATTTATGTGGTAGCGATTTGATCTGGCCTATGCAAAGCCTTTCAGTGTACTGCAGGGATTATACAGGAGAGCAGCGATCCTGCGGAAGAGCAGCAGTTCTGCTAGAATCCGAGCACGTTGGCTTAGATCCAAGTGAAGCAAAGGTACTGTCAGAGCTTTTGAAGTGAGCGGGATTAACGCCACGGGAGTCAGCACCAGTGTGGCGTAGCAGATACAGAGAGACTACGCTGGCTTCCTATTTGGATGCACTTATTCCAAGCCTGGTGCATCCTGCTGTAGAACAGCGAATGCTCTGAGCCAACGCAGCACCCCACGGTACGCGTGCAAGAGGAACAAGGAATCGTGGTGCAGCTTGACTGCAGCAACCGGTGTCTTCTTTTTACACTTGATTCCCCAGGAAGCTGAATTAGATGGTAAGAAGATCTATTGCTTTTTGCTTTCAAGTGTTTACCTTTTCGTGTATCTCCAGCTGGTATCAAACTTATCAAGTGGAGACAATCAGACTGCTTTAGCTGATATCCCACAGCTGTGACTGTTCTCCTTCATGAACGGTGAAGTCACGCTGTCATACAGCATGAATTCTATTTCTCAATGAAATCTTCAGAAGAAAGATTTATAGCTTTGCAGAAAAGCAGCACGGAGCCCTCAAATGTACGTGAAAGAAAAACGCAAACCCAGCGTTCTGATGCTTTGGACTTTTAACCATGTGCATGGATCGTTTTGTAGTACAGTCCATAGGAAGAGGCAATACATTAACACCAACCCCATGATAAAGAAGTCCTAGTAATTGTGGGTAGAGATTAACTTTGACATACCAAGATGGGAATTGATCGGTGAGAAATAAATATATATATATACACACACACTCACACATATATATATTAAATATATATAATATATATAATGCATATATAATGTATATGTATATATATGTATTTCATATAAAAAAGCTTCACATTCAAGTATAGATACATATTAAAACATAAAGAGAGGAGGAGCTTTTGAAGTTAACACTAAAGAGAGAATCTATCGTAAGCAGAATTCTTATTAAGATCACCGAGACGTGTTTTCCCTAATTTCAAAATGCGGTCAGGTCAGACGGTTAGTGTTCCACTGATTACCGAGAAACACAACGCAATGAAAAGTGAGAAAAAGGGAAAAAGTTGTAATGGAAAGGTAGGTATAGTGTCAAATACATCCATATATACATAAATCCTTTACTTAAGATATCCCACGCTTGGGGGGAACAAAAATGATTTTTTAATTTGAATTCATAATACGGTCCCCTCAGTTGTTGTGGGTTCCTTGTAATCAAATTATCATAGCCAAAGGAAAAAGAAATTTGAATGATCAGAAGAAAAAGGGTTGAAAATCAACCCTGATATGAAATATGGCTCATGCAGCCTTGTTCTGCACCTAAAATATGAAATGTATCACCAGTAGAGAGAATATTGGATGGAAATTCTGAACGTCTTTTAGCCCTGGATTGATCCAATGTCTAAAGAGAAATTCTCTCTCTTGAAATCCCAGGGGCCTTCATCTTTAGATTCTTGAAATTATGGTCACAAAATCAGCGAGTAAATCACCCTGATTTTTTACAAATGTAGACACTGAAAATACTAAGTGTATCTAACTGTGTAAATCTACAAGTCATCGGTTTTGCTTGACAATACAGTACAAATTCAGAGCTGTAATCAGAGGTTTATGCAAAGAAGGCATGGCAAAACACAGCCACAGTCAATAGGATGATGCCGTTGATATTCACAACGTTTCTCCAAAGCGGCACTTCGCTTGTGTCAGTCAGTTTCTTCTTCAGTGCTTCCTCCTCCTCCTTGCTCAGTTTGGGTGCTTTTTGTTGATCTAAGCCACAGAACCAGTTGTACGCTTTCTTAAAGCATCCCGGTTCTTCTTCACTTTCCTCGTTAACTGGAAGGAATAACACACTGGTCATGAAACGTAAGCATGGACCACTGCACGCACAAGATCTCTGTGACTGAGGACATTCCTGTACTTAATACAGCAGTTCTGGTTTCTGGTCATAGTTACAAGGAAACATTTCAGTACAAGGGAGTACAACAATCAAGTTAATGTTGTGTTTTCACAGCTCACTTGGAAAAAGGGTGATTACAGGTTGCAAGAGAGCCTTTTGCAGGAGACACTTGCACCTTTTGCAGCCTAGAGACTTGGTCTGGTATTGGAGAAGCAAACCATGCTGCAAAGCTTAAACTCCATTTTTCCAATACTTTCTACACTTTTAATTAGAAGACAAATAAACGGATTTGAGGATACTTATGAAAAGGAAGTTGGCAGCAGAACCAGAAACCCAGCAAAGAGAGCAGGTGGTTTTGCCCAGATGGATGTCTGGCAGTTCTCTTTCATGGTGCCTCACACCACATCCTTGCTCCTTCAGTCCTGGCTACTGCCCACGATTTCCAAGTAAATTCTTGTTGTTTCATTCCAAATGCTACAGTCTCACACAGTTCTGCCAACGCGCACCACCTCTGCCCTAAAGCATCTCCATCGTTTTAGTCCTAGCACTGCCACCTAGCTACCTAGAGAACAAGATTTTCTCCCTTCAAATCCACTTCACTTTGGATTTACACTGAGGCTGACAGATTGGTAAAAGGCAGCTCACTAGCCATGTAAATATGTGGGGTTTGAGGTTTTGTTGTTGGGTGGGAGGAAGTGTGTCTTTGAGTATCAAGCATGTTAATGTTTCTTCAGGAATGAAATAGGGGTACTCAAATATATTGATAGAATCTGTAGATATTCAACAGTTACCTGATTCCTCATCTTTTTCATCAGCTCTGTCCTGCTCCTCATCTGCGTCAAGATCAATACGTTCTTCTGTGCTGTTCCGCAAAGACCAGCACAAGCGGTAAAGCTGCCGTGAAACATAAAATGAGTTTATAAGTCTACAGCCTTACTACACAGAGAGAAATCAGTCTGGGCAGCACATGAACAAGCTATAAGACCATGGCATCCCAAATGTCTGTTAAGTCAACTTTTAAGATTATTAGGAGTCACTGAAGATTTGTGACAGATAAATGAAGGCTATTTTCTTTGCTTTCTTACAAGGACTATATGATGTGGGTAGCTGAAATGGCAGGAGGCAATATACCAAGTACCAGTGCTTAAAACTAGTGGTTTCATTGAGTTCCACTTCTTGAGGAGCAGGACTGCAATAATACTCACATGTACATCAGGAATGGGCTTAGTCATGAAGGAGACTGCCAGGATGACGATGGCAGAAACCCCAAAAAGAATCATGGCAAAGTAAAGGTAATGAATCCCACAGATGATGAATGGGCAGTTGGAAGGGTTCACACAGTTGCCGGTTCCGTAGGCAAACTCTGCAATCATTCTGCTGAGTCCAGCTAGCAGCCCAACCATCAGGCCCCAGAAGGCACCCTGCAGACAAAGTGACAGAAGTTATCAACATGAGTCAGTTCAGGCATGAAAATAAGCTCTAAACTCTGAATAGTTGCTGGAGGAAACATTCAGGTAGTTCTGTGTTACGTTGGCCTTGGCGCATGGGTTTTAACCCAGATACTTTCCGTGCCCGTATTTACAGCTCAGTGTATTAATACAACTTTCTCAAAGTTCATCCACCGCCCCACAATGTTCTCCTTACACAGGACAGGCTCTAGCTGCAGACTACGCATCCCAGGGGACGTTCTCATAGCTTTTTACCTCTGAGTAACTCCCTGACCGTTCTAGCCTGATGGAACCAGCTAGCAAGTGTGTGTCATTCCTCCTGAAATACGTGCCTGGTTTATTTTCTAATGCATTGTTAGTAACTAGTTAAAAGTTACTTCTCAGCACTTCCAGTGGATGTTTTGCTGCTAGGTTTATATTACTCTAGCCCAAAGTATAAAAGACGCGCAGGTCGGTCTGGGCACAAATTGAAATACAGGAAATTCTGTTTAAACATAAGTATATTTCTTTTTTACTGTAAGGGTGATTGGAACAGGTTCCCTAGAGACACTGTGGAGTCTCCATCCCTGGAGATATTCAAAACCCAACTGGACAGGACCTGAGCATCCTGCTCTTGTTAGCCCTCCTTTGAGCAGGGAGGGTTCACTAGTCCAGAGGTACCTTCCAGTCTCAACCGTTCTCTGAGTTTGTGGAGTGAAAAAAAACTAATGATGGTAACACAAATTTATAATTCCCGATTAAAAAATATTCTAGGTTTAATGCTGGGTTTAAGAACAAAACAGTTTTGATTATTCAGTGGTCAAAGTCACAAAAATGTTTCAGAGTAGGACAAGATAGTTAATTCTATTTCTAGCAGAAAGAAGAATTACTCTGAGCAAGAAAATGTTGATAAATCTTATAAGTAATTACAATATTGGAATTTATCTTATGCAAGGCTCCAGTTCTCAGAAGCTTTGATGCTTGTCTCCCCTATTTACCCAAATTTAAAGTGTTCAGTGTACCCAACCCCCCGAGGATTATACTGAATTCTTACTCAGGTAAAAGTCCAGCTAAAGTCAATGACAGATTTCCACAAAGGGCACAAAGATTTAATCCATTTGTGAGGTTTAGCTATATTGGAATAGGAAATGGAACATCCCTTGTGCGTAAAACAGGCTTTTCTTGGATATACACACAAATAACCACTGGACTGGTCTCGAGAGAAAATAGTGAGAAAAAAGTTTGAGCCATATTCAAAAACCTTCTCTCTCTAGGCTTTCTCATTGAACTCATCCTCTGTGGAGCAAACAGGCAAGTACTGTTATTCCTAATATTATAGAAAAGAAACGGAATTCCTGAGTACCGAGTTTCCAGAATGTCTGAGACCCCAGTTACCATGACTGGCCTATGGTCCCACCAAAGCATGTGACAGACCTCGTGCCTTCCGAGTTACTTAGAAAGGCTTAAGTACAATATTTCTCAGTTCACTGCTCTACGAGTCAAAATCAGTGATTCCCAGACTGGGTCCTAAGACCAATGGGAAACAATGCATAAAACAACAGCATGTTTGTTTAAAAGAGTGTTGACAAAATATATAGTGGTCAAGGGGAAAGTGAAAGGTGATACGTTTTGTAAAGCAGTTTGGTGGCCAATATCCTAAAAGATTACTTTCAAACATGTCCCCATAAATTATCCATTTGACATACTTCTTGGCAAAGCGATAGATACCCTAAGTTTCAGAGCTATCTAGGAATTCCTAGGTGACTGTTTATTTATCAGATTAGCAAAGAACTTTTTCAGACTCCTCTCTGAAACCTCAGGCCCTGGGGTATGGAAACGCAGAATCCCTGGGCTGTAGTAGAATCAAAATAAACAGGAAGAAGTTGCTAATAAAAGACACCAAAACAAAAAAGTTGTCCTAATGCCTAAAGGAGCGTGCAGCATACCCGTTCCCTAGTCTGTCCTTACCTGCTCATTGACCCTCTTGCAGAAGATGGCAAGCAGGAAGAGAGCAGCAATGGGAGGTCCCAGGTAGCTCGTAATTGACTGAATATAATCAAAGAGCTGCCCATTTTGAGCTGACTGCACCACAGGAACCCAGGCAATGCTGATGCCAATTAGAACTAACATAAATGCCCTGTGAACATAGCCAGATATTCAATTAGCCACCTGCTTAGAAGCATCTATCGGAAAGAAAAAAACAGCAATTAATCAATAATTTAAATGTCCATTTTGTATTTCAACCAGCAAAATCAATGATAATGGCCAATTACCATTGAACAAACAAAAGAAATCCAAGTTGGGTATTGTGCCTGTCAAATATCCGTCAGCATACAGCTAAACATGCAATCGAAACACAGAAAATCACTTTTTTCCTTTGCTTGTTATGTCTAGAGAAAAATCAATAGCAGATCAACTAGAAGAACTGGTTCATTGGTGTTGCAGTAGGGTGTAGCATAAAGCCAACAAAGATCTTTTAAAATAGTTCCCTTTGAACAGCAGTGGAAGTGCTGAGGATTAGTTTAGCTACTTCATGCACCACTGTCAATTAAATTGGAAGCAAGGTCTTTTTTCTCCAGAAGGAAAGCGTACAGCGGGCCAGCCTGGCTGGCCACGGGAGGCCACTGCTGCGCCGCCCGCGCGCTGCGACAGCAGGTTTTCACCCAGGCCCTTCGTGCATTTTTGGAGGCTGCAGCCTGTCACTAGCGCTCGCTATGTTTGTGTGGCTGGGGAAGACTCGGCGGCACTCACCTTCCAGCTAACATGAGCTCTTTCTCAGATGGTCGTGATCGAATTTTGGTGTAAATGTCCATAGTGAACAAAGTACTAGCACTGTTAAAAATGGAAGTCAGGGAGCTCATCAGGGAGGCCAACATGACGGACAACATCAGACCCCGCAGACCTGAAATACAAAGATATGTGAACTGGGACGAGCATTCAGTGGAGAGTCGCCGTACGTGGCACCATCCATAGCGCTTCTCTGACCCTTTCAAGTCAGCCAGCCATGAGTGTGTCTGGATGTTTATGTGCTGATGCCTGCCTGACGTTCTCTTGCAATGCAAGCAGAGTGATGTCTGCTGAGCTTTGGAAAAGCTCTTTACAGCAGTGAGAGGGCAACTCTTGAGCTTTTAGAACACAGGTACTTCTTTTGTGAATGCTGTCTGATTAAATGCTGAAATAATAAGAAAAAAATACTAAGCAGTCTATCCCCAACAGTTATAAAAATAATTTCTCTTGTTTGCAGGCAAGTGCTCACTTGCTTGTGGTATATTTGTAAACCAGTTGTTTGGCAAAAAAAGTTTCTTTTACTGTTTGAAAATCAGAGTAAGCCACTTTTCCAGATGGTATGATCTAGTCAACACAGTATGGGGAAGAACTGCGGTATTTTAATACTACTATGTACACAGTTATAACACAATGAAGAAGTACTAAAGCTATCAGGAAAGTACCATGGTCTGTATAATATCATAATCTGTCTTTCTAGACTTATGAATCAGCTCTCTGGTTTTCTGCAGAAATGCATTTCCATGTATACGTTGTCCTCTCCAGAGCGGTGCCTTATTCTCTCATGGAACAGGTGTCCTATGGGACAATGCCTACAAAGAATATTTTCTCCTCCCACCTCAGTGGGTTTCGCAGAAGGACTGCAGGTGCTTCTCCTGCCTCCAACTCAGAAATCCTGGCAGAGACAGTCTTTTATAAATCATTGGCAAAGCAGGTTATTTTTTACCTTCACAGAAGGGAGCTCAATTACCATTTCATCACCCAGTGTTTGCCAGCTGAGAGCAGACATTGTCAGCGTGCAGCTGTTCGGCACCTACAGCTACAACTAATACAGACTACCCCTTTGATTAATACTACATAGTTCTAGTAAGAATTTTTCAACTAAATATAGGGCTTGGGCTCCCTCTATCACCTGTTTTTACAGTCTGGCAGCCTCACCTTTCCTAAAACAAACAAACAAACAAACAAACAAACAAACAAATACGGACAGTGTCTTACCATTTGGCATAAGCTCCACTACCATTTTTGGATAAGCAATATTTGTACAGCCAACTGAGGTGCCGCAGTGCTGCTGGCAGACTTCAGGCACAACACAAGCCACCACATCTGAGGAGAGGATAATGAGACAGGGTTAGACAAGGTCAGATTGCTCCCAAATTAGTAGAGCTTCTAAAATTTATCTGTGTTGAACCACTGGATTGACATGCTGGATATCATCCTTGGTCTGCTGGCAGGGAGGAAGGTGATTCCTTCCTTTCCTCTCTAAAAGAATACTGAAAAGTGCTGCAGGTCAAAAAAAAAAAAAAAAATCAGCATTAATTTGTCAGACTAGGACTGAACCACAGAAGGAGAGCAAGTAGAAAAACAAGCAGAGGAACATGAAACATAAAATGAGTCTCTCCAACCTGAACATCTCTCCTCTGCCTGCTGTTAAACACAGTGATGCTCAGAGAGAAGGGAGATTGGCATTTCCCCCACGCTGCGCTCGGGACTGCCCGCGGCCCCAGATATTGCTGGCTGTGACTGATGACCCTCTTCCTCTGACTGCTAGCAGAGTATCAGCCCTGGACAGCATTTTCCACTCATTCAGCCAGAGCGGGGCTGTAACAAACAGACAACTGGGGAGGGACACTGTGGAATTTCTCTCCCCTAAAACAGACTGGAAGAGCATTAGCAGAAACATGGGATGTGGGAAAAGAGGAAGACCTGTGGCTTCTTACGCTGTGGTTAGTTCTTGTGCATACATGTGCCTGGACAATTTGGATGGCAAGATGACAATCTAACAGGTATTTTGGAAGGGACAGAGAATAGGAAATTGAGAGAGATTAGCAGTGAAAGACAGGCAGCAAGAAGAAATTTGCATTTCTGTATACACAAGCATACCTGTATACAAAATTCGGCTGATCATTCCAGGCATCACTATGATAAACATGGGCAAGAGTTTCAGGTATCCACACAAGACACAGCCAGCCTTCACATGGGACATGTTCTTGCCAGAGAGACATCTTTGGACAATAACCTGTCAACGAGAGATGGCAAGCATGCATGACTCAACCAAGAACAGCATTTGCATGAACACACCATGTTCCAGTTACAAGGTACTTCTTAACCTCTGTGATAATGAAAGAGCCTATTCATCGTTTCTGTCACTGGGAAAAATAAAAACTACATGAAAATCAAAGGATATATTTGAAATAAGTAAAGGAAGGAAAATATCATTTATCCAGTGTATGTTTAAGAGGTAAGATGCTTTCACACAAGGTGTCTTAAAGCAGACAGACTAAAAAGCCAAAAAGGAATAAAATATTTACCTGAGCAATAGAGAGTTACATTGGGGTTTTTATTCATTTGTTTACAAATTGTGAAGATTATCTTTCTCACAATTCAGAATGCAGATAGATCACTTGCTGGAGATTGGACACATTCACGTGTCGCAGTTACAGGAGCACACTTTCCTCTAGTGTCAATGTGATCTCCTGGGGAAACTGGACGGTAGGTTTTAGGGCGAAGGAAAGAGGATTGGGGAAGAGCG